ACACACACACACACACACACACACACACACACACACACACGCGCTAAATAGGGGAAGAAATCGAGATGTCCCTTACTGCTCTAACGTCACCTCTGTGGCTTTTTAACAAAACTTTCTAAACATCTCCATCAAGCAATTACACATTTGTTTGTATTATAGGAATACGTGTGTCAGAAGGACTCATTAGTAATATTGACAATTTGTTTCCATAAAAATCAAGGCAGTTTAAGAGACTAAAAGATTTTAACAAGTATTTGGTAAAATAGTAACAAACACACAAATAATACAGCTTATCCATAAATATATTTAAAGATAAAATATGTATTTTAGACAAGAAATAAATCAACCCGAGTAGGATATACATAGATTTTGTAAACTGAATACAATTTATTTTACATCGCATTGCTTCATTTTTAAAGGTATATAGTAAGTACAAAAAAAATGAGAATACTTTGATTCAGCATTCAGATGGGTTTGTTTGGCAGAATTGCACAAGTTATTTTTGAACTGTTCCTTGAATTTCTTTATAACCTATTTGTTTGCTTTGCTTGTAGACCTTAACTTAAAGTGTAGTGGCATTCTGAATCAGTAGGTTAGTTGGTTTCAGACAGATACGTCTTTGTAGCCAGGCATGCGTAAACATAATGGATGTCCATATCGGGTTTATTGCCCCCGATCCAAGTCCTTTGATATTGGTAGTGGGGATCTGCTGACACCAAGGCCGATCCAACACCTGCCTCTTCTGTTCGGCCTTTATAGAGACCACTGATGGGACCACCCTCAAATAACATAGTCTGCTAAATCTGGCACACTTTATTTTTCTCAAGCTACTTGCTCCAAATACTGGTTCCAAAAAGATTACGTTGATATGATGTGAATTAAAGTTTAAGTGGTAAAACTTCAGAAATTGACGTGATGCGATTGGATACAGCTTTTTTTCTTTGGTGGGGGTAGACATCCAAGAATCCAGTCCTGGATGATTTTCAGTTTGTGTCCTACATGCTTAAACCTGTCCAGCTGTTGCTAGAGATGTCATGGGTGTAGAGCCAGTCTGAAGGGTTTTTCCTTCCTCTCCTCTCTTGTCAAGGACTCTGCGTCCACAGACGACATGTGGTAACACAACCTCCTACCACTAACACAGCATAGAGTTTACAAACCACCATCCTCTCAAGACCCACAGCAGCTCAGCTCAGCAGTCTGTCTCTCCGTTACGCTGAGCTTTTGGTTTCTAAGAAGGGAATTTCATGGGAGGAGGAGGAGGAGGAGGAGGAGGAAGAAGAAGAAGAAGAAGAAGAAGAGGAGTTGCATGCACACAAACCTGGAATAGTGCAGCACCAGTCCACTCTGGAGTTCAGGATCCCCACCCTCTTGTCGCCCCCTTTTTATGTTCACCCACTTTAATATTTCTCCTCTAAAGTAATCCATAACAATTGATTCCCCAAGGTTTTCTTTCTTTTTGTTAAATAATCAGCTTAAGTAGTCAGATTTGTTTTTTGATTTTTTTTGCTGTAATTAATTTGATTCACATTTCCTTGTGTGTGTTTGTATATTTCTGTTTTTGTGAAGTGCAATTGTCCTGTACAAACAGCCTGTATTTAATGCAGCTTGATTTTAAGTTAAAAAATGAAAGAAATGAAAAAGAGAATCTTTTATGCACTATCTGCCTTTTCCTGCTCTTCTGGAATTGTAACAAAAGTCTATTCAGTGAATATTACTGCTTGTCCTCCAGGCACAATGTCTCTGCGCTTTTACTTTACCTTTTTATTATTTTATTTTTTAGTTAGTCTATGCTCCTTTTAAAAAAAGAAACGGGTAAATTGTATAGTTGACAGCACAGTAAGCTCTCTATATCAAACCATTTAAATCCTAATTATTTTTTCCCCTGTGCTTTTTTTATTGTATTTTATTTTTGTAAGTGGTTTTCTCTACATGCTCAAATAATAATTGCAAAGTGTTTCTCAGTCATTTTGGAAGTTTGAAGTGACTAATCTTTTTATTTTTGTTCATTTCTTCGAGTCATTTGATGAAAAGAAAAAAAAACAAAAAAACACCCTGTCAACACGTGTTCCTGTGCAAATAGATACGTGCAAGCGTGAGCAGGTGCTCGTGTCTATGTATGTGTGTCCGTGTAAAGGCAGATCTGTGTGTGCAACTCTAATTTAAATTAGCTCTGGTGGTTCAGACGACAGACCAGCCTGGAGTTTAAGGGAACTGCTCTCTCAATGCTTCCCCATTGTCTGACCTGTTTTCAGCCAGTGTTCCATATCAAACCCGACATAAGCTTTCACTACTTCTTATTCCAAAAGGCTTTGGATAACAGAGTTTACATGCTGTTATGCTGTTTGAACAACTTCAAGCTATATGTCAGAACTATACAGTAACCTGAGATGACACAAGTAGTTCAGTTAACCCATGGTGTACAATGCATCCAATCTAGTCGCGTCTAGACTAGTTTACACATCGATTGTGTGATATTTAAGTATCGGTTTCTAAACATGTATTGTTACCAGTGCCCGCTGTGGGTGCCATATGATTTATAAATACTTGTTTCAGCTTTATGACAGCCTATGCCAAGTTTCTTTTTCATGAGAATCTGTTTTTTTTTTTTTTGTGGTACAGATAGATTTTTAGCTTCTAACCTTTTTAACATCTGGTAATGTGACTGATGTGAACAGTTTAATCACTGACTATTTTACAGAAGATCACCCGTTACCAGCCTGAGCATAGGACACAACTTACAAGATATTGACGCTAACACTCGCACGACTATTTTTATTCTTCACGTGGTCTTCAGCTGGACATTCAAACCAAGAACAAATCTGCTAGCTGCAATGAGTTCTCATGGTTGCATAGCACCTTTTAACCCCCCCCCACAGCACCACAAACCACAGCACAATACAGTTTGCTGCTATAGTGAATGACCTGTGGGTTGGTTTTTTTTTTTTTTTTTTTTGGGTTCTTTCAGTGAATTCCCCCCCTTTTTAAAGATGAATAGTCCCGAACTAAATCTGTATTTAAAACACACACAGTAGATATATTTCTTGAAGAGAAATGGTTTTATTTCAGATTTATTTTCTGCCATTTTTTTTTGTCTAAAATTGCATTGTTGGAAATTAATGTATGTATATATTTTTGACTTAAACTTTCAAGGAATAAATCATGTCGCTTGAGTTAGTTTTTTGCCGTGGACACAATGTGATGGTGGTTTGTCTTGGGATGGTTAGTTGAATATTTGTGTGTTTTGGCAAACAAAACTTTCCCCTTAATCACGTCAGTGTCCCTCTAATCAACACTTAGGGTTTGAACTGTTTCATTAACAAAATACACAATAATAATTTACAACATTTGTAACTCTTCATTTGTAGAAATGACAATCCGAACTATTTCACCGCATTTAGGTTTCTGGTGGTGGCAAATTATGAAACCATTACAAAACACAGACTTTAATCTTCAATTTGCTGCTTTCTAATATGCTTTTGTGGCAAAAAAAGACCGGACACTCAAAAAAGTGGGATGTCTATATCACAAGAAGTAAGAATATAAAGGAGTACAGAGCTGTGACTCTGTAAAAGACGGTAAACATGTTAGAGTGATGTTAACAAAGGTACTCTGTGGAGCGTTCAAACACTGGTAGTGCTGTAGAGTAATGTTTAATGTTTGGGTCCTCCCTCTACTAGCGTGACGACAAGGGTAAACATGACCGCAGGAGGCAGACATGTTTATATCAACAGTAGGTGTCATGGTAAACAGCCATGAAAGACAATAAGACCGCAAGCAAGCCAGCGTAGAAAAGAGCCTTTGAACATCTGCTGTGATGTTTGGAGAAGCGTTGAACGTGTTTGTTCGGCCTTAGAGACGCATTGCATTTTGGGAAGAAATGTTGAATGTAAACCTAACTGTGTGTTTACAGGAGAAACTCCACAGGGTACCTTTAAACAGTCGCCCGAGAAACGGCATGAATAACAAGTCATAATTCAGCAGATTTCTTTGTGTGCGTGTTGGCATAAAAATGGGGTTTTTTACTTGAATATTCCCCCACATAAAAAAACTGAAAATTAAAATGCAACAAAAAAAACAGTAAAAACTTTGTTTAATGCACTTCTTTTGGTTTAAAATGAGTTTTATATTCTATCGCCATTACATACTGTGCTCACATCATGTAACATGAAAACTCTTCAAGGCAGTGTGTTCAGTATGTTTAAGGAAACAATGTAATATGAATGAAAATGCCTTTTTTTTTTTTTTTTTTTACTTGGATGAGCAGTTTTATTTTGCTTGTATTTGTTTAGTGAGTGCACTAATTGTCTCTCTTAAACAGTTTTCAGCACCAAGCTGCTAATTGCAAACCTGGGAGGTGTTGACTCTTAAAGCAACATTTCATGCCATTTTCCTTTGCGCTTTAATAAGGAACAAACTATTTATTTGCCTTCTGAGGCCATCGATATCCCTACTTCCCTTGACTGACCTGCGTTGCCCGAGAGATTTACAACTCAGTATGTGGCTCCTACACGAAGCTGCTTGATGCCACATTTCTATAACGAGCCACAGAATGAAAAATCTCAAGATTAGCTTTTTAATATTCAAAATTGCTGCAGCTGCAATGTTGGCAGATATTGACAGTGGCTGTGATTTTTCACATCTGGCCGTTTGTTTAAGTTGTGTATCATTTCTATGTAGTCCTGCATTCCCTTCAAAAAAATGAACAAAAAAAAGATCCCGAGCGTCTATTCTTTATTCTGTTTTGATTTGTTATTAACTAAAATACCTCATAACTTTTATAGGAATAGTTTTTGTCTTGTGTAGATTTAAATTGTTCAGAAAGCACTTCACGTTTTGAGACTCCTCCCCCTGAACGTAGGATTTTAACCCTGATCGATATGAGCGGGATGAGCCCGTGCTCACGTACAGTATTTGACTGAATTGTGCTGACGCTAACAAAACAAGTAATGATTTTAGCGGCTACTGCAAACGACCACATATTCTAGTAACTAGTAACACTATTGGCCTTGTCGTATATGCTAACCCTCAAATGCTCACCTGCGTGATGTCACCAGTTTGTCTACTTGTGTGACGCTCACTTAGCTCAAATCTAGAATTGTATCGAGAGTTCAGGGTTTTAGAAATGCGGGGTGTGTGAGAAGTGACTAAATGACAAATGTCATATGCACTGATCATCTGTATAATCAGCTTTTTATCAGAAAATTGTTATTGTAGAAAGAGAAGATTATAAAGCTATTTACAGAGTTACCTTTGGTTGCCTGGATTGCATCCTGTATATTCTTGTACGGAGGACGACCTGGCAGACGTTGGAGAGATTTTAAATGCTCGCGCCCTCTTGTACATATCGATGTACCTCGACTGTGGCGTTTACTGTGTGACCCTGAGCAGTTGTGGTTTATGTGTCCCCTCGCAGGGCGACCTGAGCCTCACTTTGCTGACCTTTTTCAGCTCATAAATAAGCTCACCGATTTGCCTTACCCAGTCTCATGTTGCCCCCCTAAAGTACTTGGTCAACTAAATACTATGAGGAGGAGTAATGCTGCTGACGTTACACTCCAATAGATTCAAAACTACCCCCATGTTAGGGTACTTCAGCTATCAACAAAGTGACTTTGTCCTGGTTGTCACATGGTACAACTTTACAACCATCGCTGGTTTGTGTGCCCCCCCCCAGTGTTACCTTATTGAATCTCGGTCTTTACAGCTTCTTTAATTTTTCACTGCAGATGATGTCATACTTTTTAAACTAATGCAAGTGTTTTAACATGGTAACCTCGTAAGCATTCAAAACGTGCATACATACATTCACGTCTGCTATATTTATGATTACGTTCAAGCATAGCTTTAGAGTGCTGTAGATGAGTATTGTCAATGTCCATTCAAAGGCCTCTGTGAGTGATTTTACAAATTTCAATAACTGTATATTTTGTATTATGTTCTAGCTCCAAAGGAATGGCAGAAAAAAAGAAAATGTTTAAAAATGCTTTGTTCCTTGAACTAAATTGTACTATTTGTGTTGTCGATTGAACAAATTGCATTCCTTGCTTGTGAATTGATGCATTTCTCTCCCTGCTCCTTACATTTTCTCCCCTTCTTTCCCTCCTTTCTTTCATTTTTTTTAGCCTTTGAAGTTTGAATAAAATTTCTAGTTTGCAGAATGTATTACTAAATAAATGGGTTGTCATCTTGTACCTCTCATTTCATCACTTTTTATCTGTTTGTGCCTGTTGCATTAGAGAAACTTTGTTCAGAAAGAAAACATCTAACGTGACATAAATACAGTTTTTACTGGGAAAGCTACATTATTTTACCAAAAAGTAGAAGCCAGGGCAGAATGGAGGATATAAAATCCAAACATGCTTCTTTGTATCAGATGTATGATATTATCTGGTGGAAAACAAACTTGAACATGCACATTACAGTAAGGTAGTGTGTAGATCTTCTGCATAGTGATGCTAACTACGCAGATTGCCATGCAGCACAGGCGTCCTCCTCACACAACTGCAGACAGTTTAAATGTTAAAACGTAGAAGGGAGTGTTCTGTAAATTACTGGCAGGCAGTCCTCATGTATTACATTTAAGTAAATTTAGCAATACTTAGCGCTGTTCTGAAGGTATCCTGAGAAGACGGAAAATTTGCAATCCGTTTCTCTAGTTGCCTCTTTTTCCTTAACCAAAAATGGTTGCCGGAAATTACACATTTCCTTGCTCAATTTAACCAAAATGTATTACTGCTTATACTTTGATGTTTCTTTCCAATATTCTACATTTTTATACAATACAATGCTTAAATATCTGAGCAAGGACAGATGTTTCGCGCAAATGGATTCAGCAAATACACTTGAGAATCTTTATTGTGCAGTGGACAGAATATTTTCTCATCCAGATGTTAGAAGAGTCTTCAGAACAGCTGTAAGTGTACTTAAATGAACTGTTTTTACAAACATCGCCATGTAATTACTTTTTTAACAAAAATTAAATGACACACGAGAGGCTCAAACGATCTCAGCGCTTCAGTTTGTGTGTGTGTGGTAATTAATGAGCCCTTTCCTCGCTGCATGTTTCTGAGCCCTGTGAGCCTTCTAAAGCCCAGTGGTGTTGTTGATTTGTCTGGGTATCAGAGTTGTGTTTGTCTCCCTGCCTCTTGTGTCAGTGTGTGGTGAGTGCATGTCAGAGGAGGGGTCAGGGTGGTCCACGGCCACTGGGATTAAGAACCGTCGGAGGGATTACTTCAAATGTCAACATAATGTCATGAGCTGTGTGAGAAGGTCAAACGTTCAAACGGTGCTCAGTGGCGAGCAGTTAATAGATCAGGTACAATTTGGATTGTTGTGGCTCCTGTGATGAATTGAGTGGCATGCTGAAACAAGCTTTTTTTTTAAATGTTTTTGTGTACTCTTTAAAGATACAGAAGCAAGGTTAGATGTATTATGCAGTTTGGAGTTTGTTCTGCTACTCCAGAAGCTGTTAGTATTGCTGCGAGTAGATTCAAGAGTACATGTTTCTCAATGATTGGGTATCTGCTATTAGATATGAAGCAAAATGTCTACTGTGCTATTGCTTTCTCTCTTCACTCAATGTCTGACTGATTGATGCAAAAAAACAGGATCCTAATCAGTCAGCCAGAGGGGGGCAGTGTTAATGGCTGAGCCTGCTTAGAGACACCAGCCACGGCATTCACACTCCAACCAATAGTCCTCTGTAGTTCATTGGTGGAACAGTCAGTGTCTTGTTATTAAGTAGATGTTGACGATGGCTTTTAGTTGCATGAAACAACAGCTTTTAACACTGTTGACCTTTAAAGCGGTAAGTCATACCATCCTGAATATTGTGCCGTGTTTGCAGTTAATGGCCATTGTCAGCGTGTTGGTGCATTTTTAGCCTCTTGTATTCAATGTGGAGACTATTGGCTACTGCTATAGATTTATATGTACTGAAAAAAAGCAGGTTCACGTCACCACTAAATTCTTCTCTAAAACAAGCATGTTCTTTTTAGACACGTACATCCATCTTGGAGCCATTTGCATGTTAGAACTGCACAGAATGTGGCTCATTAGGTCCCGGGCCACCTGTGCACTCCTAATGAATCATGCTGCCCTTATAGTCCCCCACATCAAAAAGAAAAAGGCGACCACGTCGGCAGAGGCCATCATCCAATGGAGCTGGCTCGTCATCTGCCTGCCATTGTTTAGAGCATGTCATGCTCTGCTTCTCATGGCGGAAAAACCCATTTGAGCTTGACTAATGCAGCCATGCAGACGCGGCAGTAAGAGGTGGGGGTGGTGGAGCACACCGCATACTCTGTGTGGATGGTCTCTGCACTGAGGTCATTGAGCTCCACATTTGCTAATTTGCTTTGGAGTGCACTAGGAGCCCGATTTTTCAGGGTTGCTCTGTAAATAGGAGGCACATTTTTTGATTGAGTTCAGCACGGGACCGCTAGAGAAGGGATGTCTTTGACGGGTGTGTTGTGGACAAGACGTAGCTCGAGAAGGATCAAATCCAACGTTCTCTACTGCTGCTTCTTCTCCCCCACCCGCCATGCTTTCCTTCTCCATTTCCTCTTTCTGTGAGTGTTCTTGTTGCCCGAGGTCAGTTTGTCACAGAGAACACAAGCTTTTCTCACTTGGTTGCAGCGATTCAATGATTGGTGTGTACAAACAAGCATATCAAGCAGGGATGACATGTACCCACCTCCCCCTCCCTCCCTCCTCACGCCCTTCTCTCTCCTACAGACATCCAATATGTCCTTCCTGCTCTCTCTCTCTCTCTCCTCCCCCCCCCCTCTCTCTCTCCTCCTCCCCTCTCTCTCTCTTTCTCTCTCTCTCTCACTCTTACGCTTGGTGGGACTGAGCGTCCCCTTGCATGTGGTGTGTTACACAAGCTGCTGCCCTGGGAATCCCGGGCCAGCTCATTATCCTGCACCCCTGAGACAAAGCTCACTGTAAATTAGGACATCAAACGATGCAGGCTTGTTAGAGAGCCACAGATACACTCATCAGCATCAGCACCTTTCCTTGTTAGAGCCTGTATCACCCCTCACTCTCACCACCACCACCACCACTTTGTGTCCTGTCATTCCTCCGCACTGACTGGAAGATTTAGGATTAATGTCAGCTCTAGCCAGCAGGTCAGCACTGTTGTGGTCCTGATTGATCGGTGGTGGCGGGAAGCTGTGGAATTTGTTGACAGCTGCCCACTATCCCTGCCACTCTTATCCATATTTCATTGTGTGGAGGGGGGGAAAAACCCTGTCTCAGAATAACTTGTCTGGCAAGTGACTAGTTGTTTGTCACGGCTGCAGGGGATGGACAAAATAACTGAAACCTCTTTCGATACAACATGCTGTTTCTTTTTTGTTAAAGTTTATTGATGACACTAAATGGTCATTTTAAAGGGATTGACCAGTAGCTCAGGCAGTCTTGGTGTGTTTCTTTATATTGTCTTGGAAACTTTTTTTTTTTTATTGGCATCGCACCAGTCACTTAACTTTAACTTTAAGTGCAATGTTAAAATCGCTGGAGTGCCCATTTAAATCTGACAATATCCAGTTTGTTACATTTCAATATGTCTTGCTCGTAGCTCCCTGTGTCAATGTGATTTACAGCTGAATTGCTTGCAAACACAGCTAAATTATAAGTGATGTGGCTTGGGGAAAATCCTAAAATACATGGCTGAACTGAATTAGGAAAGAGGAGGAAGTAGATGCTTAGCAACACCGACTCACTGAAAGACATTGACTGTTGTATTTTCTTAACAAGACCACAGTGGACATGGAGGTCTCAGCTAAACCCTGCATAATTCACCACTAGTCTGTAGACGCAGGTTAGATACCCAGTCAATGATTATGTATCGACGGTTAAGCGCTGCTAAAGATGTACTGGGTTTTTTCGGTGCCTTCGTTGCGGTCTTCTCACAATCCATACCACCAATTTCCCTTATTATTGCCTTTGTCTAAGACCAACTATTGTGCTTTACTGTGAAGATTTATTGACGCGACTGCTAGCAAATAGTTTTTCTTTTGAACCTGCACAGCCGTTTGTTGTTTACAGCATGCTCTCTCTTGTCTGTCATTAGGCTGGGGATGGAAACTGTCTGTAGGTGTCTTGTCGTCTTCAGTGGGCCCTCAACCATTAATGTCTCCTTTTTTTTTTTTTTTTTTTTTTACCATAATGTCACAAGTGAATTTTATTTATATAGCCCAATATCACAAATCACAAATTTGCTTCAGGGCGCTTTACAATCTGAACAGCCTACGACACCTTCTGTCCTTTTCAATGGAGGACAAACCCCTCCAAAACAAAAAGCCATTTAACGGGGAAAATGGAAGAGACCTCAAGAAGAACAACTGAGGAGGGATCCCTCGCTCAGGACGGACAGACTTGCAATAGGCGTCCCATGTGCAGAATAGACCACAAGGTGTTGGTCTCCTATTTTCGTACAGATCTGTCTTTTTCATCTCTTCTGCATGCTGTCTGACATCTGGTCGCATGCAGCCTGTGGGTGATTGAGTCATTCCTCCTGCATGCCGTCACTTCATCTGTATCTACTTCACCTCATCTGCATCCTGCTCTTCTCCTCCCCAGGACCCAGACATCCTCCTCTTCCGTGGTTTCAGCTAAAACAAGAACTAATCAGAGGATGTCAAGCAAGCATTTGTTGTCTCATATTTGTCCATCGCCATAATGAATGAATCTCCTCTCACTTCATCATTTATTGAATGTGGTTTTCCTCCACATACACATCTGATATACCCAACTTGTCATTCAACATTAGATCTCACCATTGTTTGACCCATTTTAAGATGTTCATTTTAAACATGCGCTTAATTACTAATTTAAATACTGCATAAGACACTGTGCAGGGATGGGAATTTACCTATAGTCACAACTAAAAGGAAATTATATAAGACAGTATCATCAAGCTGGGCTAAAGTTATGGGAATGATACTTACAGTCGACGTTTTGCCCCATAAAACACTCATTATGGGGCAAAACTGCATTTGTTTTATTCCGTCTTCAAAATGACTCTGGTGTCTTCTTTCTTTGTAAGAACATTTTTGATGACGGTAACTAATATCTATGTAACAGTAGGGTGATGCAACATTCTTTTCATTAATCACACTTAAAATAATTCACAAAATCTCAAAATATTTTCAGTGTATGAAAGATGCACAGGTGGTTTCTCATG